TGGTGGCACATGCCTGTAGTCCCAGCTACTTGGAAAGCTGAGGCAGGAGGATCAATTGAGCCCAGGAGTTTGAGGTTGCTGTGAGCTAGGATGAAGCCACAGCACTCTAGCCTGGGCAACAGAGTGAGACTCTAACTCAAAAAAAAAAAAGAAAGAAAATGAAAAAGAAAACCTACTAAGGACTCCAAAGAGCTTTTATATACATGGATTTTTCTTTTTTTCGGACAGTCTCACTTTGTTGCCCAGGCTAGAGTGAGTGCCATGGCGTCAGCCTAGCTCACAGCAACCTCAAACTCCTGGGCTCAAGCAATCCTGCTGCCTCAGCCTCCCCAAGTAGCTGGGACTACAGGCATGCACCGCTAATTTTTTCTATATATATTAGTTGGCCAATTAATTTCTTTCTATTTATAGTAGAGACGAGGTCTCGCTCTTGCTCAGGTTGGTTTTGAACTGAGCTCAAACAATCTGCCCGCCTCGGCCTCCCAGAGAGCTAGAATTACAGGCATGAGCCACCGCGCCCAGCTAGGCTGTCTTTTTGAGCCTTGGAAAACGCTAAAGGTCCTTGGAGGTAATTTCGACTTCATTTACTTGATCTAGTATACATGTTGCAAAAGCCTAGAAATATTGGTTGCTTCCAGAGGAAAAAGAAAGGATACCACTTTGAACCATAAGCAAGTAGGGAAAGGTACCTTTAGCCAGGAACAAACCCCAGAAACCCAAGAGCCCCTGCAGTTTCAGGCCTCCCTGGGGGAAATTCTTTGAAATTAAGCCTGACCGTGGATGAGTCTGTCTGAGGTTTCCTGCAGGTTTGCCTGCTGCTGCCCCTCTTGTGTGTCAGCTGTGTCTCAGGAAACAGCAGCTGGAGTCTTCTCAGGTCTGCTGTGGTCAGTGCCCCTCCTGTTTCTCTGCACTCCCATGGTCTGTTAGCACCCTGCCCAGTGTCACACCATGGCCGTTATTTAAACTGTAAGCCAAATGTCACTTTTTAGTCTTCTTAATTTCTCCAGATTAATCACCTAAAATTTAGGTGAGTCATGTTAAAAAGTCTCATCTGTTTACTGTTAGGATATCAAATAGTAGATATGGTAGGATTTATGATATCCATTAGCATTAACTAGAAACCAGACAAGTCAACATGTTTCAGTCCACATTATTCTCTTCTCATCCCCAGCCCCTTTACTAAGACACCCCATTCCAGACTGAGCAGAACAGAGTGGTCTAAAGGGCCTTGCTAATTTTGGGGCTGGGTTCATGACCAGCGAGAGAGACAGTGCATTCAATCCAAAAAGAGTGTGTTGACCCCCAGGCTAAATCATTCCTTCCTTTCAGGGTCACCCTATGGCCTGTCCCAGGCTCCCTTGTCCCCTAGCTCCTTCCACAGGGACTAGGCTAAAATGAAATCTGCCTCTGAAACTTGGGTGGTAAAAGATGGAGCCGGGTACCATTTATGTGGCTGTTCACCTTCTGTGGCTGCTTAGTGTCAACCAGTATTTTCCCCTCTGAGCCCCAAGCAGAGGGGTGTGCAGCTAAGTTCAGAAAGGCAGCTTTGTGTCCATGCACTTTGTTCTGTAATGGGCTCTTTGAATAAAACCTTGCACATCATTAAAATCCTTTAGTTTATTTAATTGTTTCCTTTGTGCTCCTTTTTGGGTCATCTTAAGACTGTTGATAAAAATATCAGCTACCGTTATTTGAATGTTTACTATGTGCTAATATAGATGTCTGTAGATATACAGATATACCCATTTTACAATTATAAATATGTCTCTCTTTGTATGTAACCCTAACCCTAAATACATACATATTTATAAATACAAAATGGATATGTCTGTATTTATATATATATATATACACACTCACTACATCTCCATAGTCTAGTGGAGTAGATATTCCCCATTTCATAGAAGAACGAAGATGAGGTTCAGAGAGGTTAAGGTACATGTTCAAGATCCTACAGCAGAAAAGTGTCAGGCAGAGCCAGGTCTGTGACCAGAGGAGGCCCTTTAAGCCACTATACTTGTGCCCCCTTAGAAAACTCGGTGAAGGACTGGTACAGGTGTGAGTCCTTTTCTCTTATTTCCTAATTATGTTCGTTTCATGTATTTGAATTGAGATTGGAGATGCAGGTTTCTTGTTTAAAAAATTCTAGGTGGTTGGCTGGGCGTGGTATCTCATGCCTACGATCCCAGCACTTTGGGAGGCCAAGACTGAAGCATGGCTTGAGGCCAGCCTGGGCAATAATGAGACCCTGTCTCTACAGAAAATAGAAAAATTAGCCAGGCATGGTGGCATGTGCCTGTAGTCCCAGCTACTTGGGAAGGTGAGGCAGGAAGATCACTTGAGCTGAGCTCAGGAGTTTGAGGTTACAGCGAGCTATGATGACACCACGGCACACTCCAACCTGGGCTATAGAGTGAGATCCTGTTCCCACCGCCCCTCCACCCCCAAAAAAGTTTCTTGGTGGTGGTTTTATTCTACAACTTTCAAATTTCCAAGTATTTCTACCCCTCAGTTTTTGTAGATAGCTTTCTTTATCTTGTGTCGTTAAAGCTTGCAAACCAAGGCCTGTCGTCTCCCTTAGTCATCCTTCAGTTACAGGCGGCTTGCTCCTAAAAACAATCAAGGTCCATATTGCAGTGGTTGGAGCTCCTTGTCCTCCCTTAGCAATAATTGCTAGGATTAAAGTTGCAGTGCCTGAGAGGCCAGGGTATTTGCACTTAGGTGCTGCAAGGGAGATAGGGCCTGGCTAGGTAAGGAGGGCTGGTGTCAGAAAACCTACACTCTGCCTGGACAACATGGCTTTGCAGAGCTGCGAACCCTTTGTAGTCAGGAGTGAGACTCTTCCCTCCTAGGGCCAGGCCTGGCCTGCTCAGATTCGTCCACATGGCCGGGGCCACAGTGCAGAGTGCAAAGGCGTCCATCCCGCAGTGTCCTCCTCCTTTATACCTCACGGGGTTCATGGGAGGAAAAGTTAAGAAAATTGGTCCTATAGTATTTGACCAGTATCCCTGACTTTTCCCAGGTATGAAATTAGGAAATGAACATATAAAATTTTTTTAGTCATTTTTCAACTAAAATAATTGTTGGAATGATACCACCTTATATTTATGTAGTATTTATTTATAAAATACTTTCACACGTGTGGTCCTCTTTACAGTGGATAACACTGCTGTGTACCACTTTTGATCTGATGACGAAGTGGTTGGCAGTTATTTACAGTAGTTAGACATTTTTTTAAATTGGCCAGTTAGTATCTGAAGCAATGCCAGAGTTATCCCAAATTAGAAAAAGTCCAAGGATTTCATTAATTCAGTCATTCAGCAGATAAATATCATTGTGTCTTGTGGTCCAGTTGCAGAACTGGCCTCTACAAATAGAAGTTAACAAGCCCAGCCTGTACTTGCCCAGGGAGGCTGATCCTAAAAATCTGATCCATAGTTCAAAAAGTCTTTTGTTAGATTCTGTTTGGCACAGTCTTTGCATCTCCTTAAATTGTTTTTAGTGACCAGAGTCACCCTTTATAAATAGAGTTCTTCCAGTTTATTACATAAATATAAATCCATACCGTTATCTTGTCATTTAATTTTTATTTATTTTGAGATCTAAAACTACAAAGTCTATTTCAGTTTAAAACTCAATAACCTATGTTTTTCTTAAAGTGATTTATATCATACCACTGTAATGAATGTTCTGTTAACGTTTAAATCATCTTCCTGAAAGAAGTAATGATCTTCTTAACAGTTAAATGTTTTATAATGAAATTTTTTGATGTATAAGAAGGCAAGATTTTTGTTAATAAGATACTCTGTAGAAAATTGAGAAATGCTGTTTTAGTACTAGTACATTGCACATGACTTGTCATTTCTTTAACACAAGATTAAGTTTTCTCTTTCTTTTTTTTTTGGAGACAGAGTCTCACTCTGTTGCCTGGGCTAGAGTGCTGTGGCATCAGCCTAGCTCACAGCAACTTCAAACTCCTGGGCTCAAGCAATCCTCTTGCCTCAGCCTCCCGAGTAGCTGGGACTACAGGCATGCACCACCATGCCCAGCTAATTTTTTCTATGTATTTTTAGTTGGCCAATTTATTTCTTTCTATTTTTAGTAGAGACGGGGTCTCACTCTTGCTCAGGCTGGTTTCAAACTCCTGACCTTGAGCCATCCCGCCGCCTCGGCCTCCCAGAGTGCTAGGATTACAGGCATGAGCCACCGTGACTGGCCAAGATGTTAAGTTTTATGTTAAAAGTATATTTATCTGAAGAACTTAAATAGGTTTAATTACATCTGATGTCAATATTTACTGCTGAAGTGTTTCTTCCAAGTATAGATTTTTTAAATATTTCTAGTTAAAAGATTACATACTCATTTAATTATATGTAATAATTTTACATTTTCAACAAATGTCACCATTTCATTATTTATTGGCCAGAAGAGGAGCCCTGTTTTATTTGGGTTTTTTTTCTTTCTGTCTACAATTGATTATATTTTCAGTTTAATTTGTACAAATTGTTTCTGTTAAATTTTTTTTAAATTTTCTTTTAGAAACATGTCATTCAGGTTTATCAAAAGGTAGGATTTATTTATACACATTGATTTTCCAATCATCACCCCCAAATGGCCCCTGTAATTAACATCAGGTTTGGCTTTCTGGCCTTGGTTTTTCCTTAAAAACTAACCTTTCTGCTGAGAATGAAATACTTACTTCCTTAAAAGGAAACTAGAAAGAAACAGATTTACTCTGTCAGGCATTTTAAAGGGACTGTGATGCCCATGTAGCAAAAGGCCCGTGTATGCTCTATGCATTTTTTCTTTCTTTTTTAATTTCAAAATATTAAGGGATTCAAATGTTTTAGGTTACATAGATTGCTTCAAGATGGCATCACTCTTGCCATGCAACAGTCTGTTTTCCTATAATAGATAGGATAGATATACAGAATATAGATTTGATATATATATTCAATTTAGATATATTCAAAACATAAAAATATTTTTTTAAATTACAGGTCTAAGACTCTCCAGAGTGTCCATGGCAACCGGCATCACTCAAGACTATGGCTGCCCTGTCAGCATGGGGCCCAGAGTGAGCGGAGCAAAGCCCCTGGTAGACCCTTAATGGCCCTGGAATGTAAATGAGAAATAAACTTGGTTGTCACAAGCCACTGAGATTTGGGGGCAGTTCGTCTGAGCACAGTATAGCTTCCTTGACTGACATATGACCATACCCTGAGCATGTCTTTTCTGAGTTATCCTTTCAGTCTGATGTCAATTTGGTAAAAAAGAGATTTTTGCTGAAACATTTCCTTGTCATGCCTGTGTCTAGCTGATACCCTCTACAGAAAAAATAAATAAAATCAATGTTATCAGAAATAGTTTATGCATATTTAAGCAAATTCATACTTTTTCTCCTTTTCTGCAACACAAATGATTACATGCTTTATATCCTGTTCTATACCTTACTTTTTTTCACTTTATATTTTAGAAATTATTCTATAACAGTACATATATGTTTTTCCTTATCATTTTTATATCAATGTAATATTCCAAGACTATTGCTTGCTTGCTTGTGTTTTCTTTCTTTCCTTCCTTCTTCTTTCCTTCCTTTCTTTCTTTTCTTTTCCCTTTCCTTTTCCTTTCCTCTTTCTTTTTCTTTCTTTCCCAGTGCTCTATTGACGGGCCTTTGAGAAGTTTCTAATCTTTTGCCATTCTGAAAAATACTGGGTTAGCCCTCAGTATACTGAGAAAAATAATTATTATCATTTACCTCAGCCAGTGGACACCTTTAATTTTGTTTATATTTTAAGTAATTTTATGAATGATTTACAGGAGTAAGAATAAAGGGATAGTGACAAACAACTTTATTAGAACTTACAAGAATTTAAACATAGGAAACTCAAATTTCTGTCCCACGTTTTCCTGTTTTGAAAGTATATATGCCGAAAATGGGCGATGCCCTTTGCTTGCCACTAACTGTTCATACCCTGTCTTGAGTGAATCTAGTACATATCCCATTGTGTAAAAACTGCTTCCAGATTTCAATTATGTATTTAAAAGTTATAGCTTATCATTACTTCTCATTCTTTTCCTTGAATCTGTAAAACACAATCCTTTTGAAAACTTCGACACTCATAATTTTGTTGAGGAGAGGACAGCCATCTTCTTTGTTCCATAATTGCAAAATATTTTATGGTTCAATTTATAAATCCCAATGAGAATGGTCAATCTGGCGAAGCGTTTTCATTTCTACATCATCTATTTCCTTCCAGTCACCCATGTACCCTGCCTTTATCAATTGTCCACTTACAGATTTTATCAAATAAAGTTTGTGTATAAATGTCACAAGAGATGAAAGAAAATTATCTTGTCCTTTTAGCAAAATGGATCCTATATCTTGTCACAAAACATTGTATTATGAATAGTTCCTCCTGCTGAAGGACTGAATATGGATCTGAGAAGTTTTCCTTTCCTTCCTTTCCTCCACATTTCCTTTTGGTCTTTTTGTATATTGTGCATTCATTGATTCTTGGATGTGACAAAATCTGTCTAAGATATGGTCATCTGAAGATTCACTGAAATTTCTTTCCTATGACTCATTTAACCATCACTATTAGCATCTAGATATAGTGCTGGTCTCACACATCTGTATGTACACATCTTCTGATTGTCTAATAATTGTGAGTGCTGTGAGTATTGACTGCTAGAGCTCATTGCTCCCCTCCTATCCAGGGAATTGCCTTGGCAGAACAGCTTGTCTGAGTTGTCAGCAGCCAGGGACTGACCACTGTGAGGGATAAAAAGCCCACCCCTTGCTTCAAGCCTGGACCAACTCCAATGCTATTTTTGCTCTAAGCTCTCCATGGGACCATACTGAAGCTAGATTCCACCCAAGACCATAGCTATGCTTACCCTTCTTCCTTTGTCTTCTCTTATTTTCCTCACTCCCTTCTCCTTAGAGACTCCTTCACAATAGCATTTCATGTCAGCAGGCATCAACCAATCAATCAATGTTCAATCAATTTTAAGGAGAAGAGTAACCCCACACTATCAGACCCAGAAAAGTAATCATTGAATATAAAGATGACAGATCTTCTCAAAATATGAACTATCTCAAGGCATAGAGCAGCCATGAGCCATGAGCCTTCTGGGAAAAACTACTTAATGATGAAATGCAGCCAATCAAGAAATTAATCGGCCGGGCGCTGTGGCTCACGCCTGTAATCCTAGCTCTTGGGAGGCCGAGGCGGGCGGATTGCTCAAGGTCAGGAGTTCAAAACCAGCCTGAGCAAGCGTGAGATCCCGTCTCTACTAAAAACAGAAAGAAATTAATTGGCCAACTAAAAATATATAGAAAAAATTAGGTGGGCATGGTGGCACATGCCTGTAGTCCCAGCTACTTGGAAAGCTGAGGCAGGAGGATCAATTGAGCCCAGGAGTTTGAGGTTGCTGTGAGCTAGGATGAAGCCACAGCACTCTAGCCTGGGCAACAGAGTGAGACTCTAACTCAAAAAAAAAAAGAAAGAAAATGAAAAAGAAAACCTACTAAGGACTCCAAAGAGCTTTTATATACATGGATTTTTCTTTTTTTCGGACAGTCTCACTTTGTTGCCCAGGCTAGAGTGAGTGCCATGGCGTCAGCCTAGCTCACAGCAACCTCAAACTCCTGGGCTCAAGCAATCCTGCTGCCTCAGCCTCCCCAAGTAGCTGGGACTACAGGCATGCACCACCATGCCTGGCTAATTTTTTCTATATATATTAGTTGGCCAATTAATTTCTTTGTATTTAGAGTAGAGACAGGGTCTTGCTCTTGCTTAGGCTGGTTCTGAACGACTGACTCAAGCAATCCATCCACCTCGGCCTCCCAGAGTGCTAGGATTACAGGCGTGAGCCACCGTGCCCGGCCTATACATGGATTATTAATAGAAATGAACACTGAGAAAGTGTAGAAATATTTACTAACTTATTTTAAAATGAAAATAAACACATTACATGTTAACATAAATAACATATTTCTACCAAAAATCATTATACAGGGCCAGGTGTGGTGGCTCACGCCTGTAATCCTGGCACTCTGGGAGACTGAGGCAGGAATATCACTTGAGGTCAGTAGTTCTAGACCAACTGAGGAGCAAGAGTGAGACCCTGTCTCTACTAAAAAGAGTAAAAATTAGCCGGGCGTGGTGGTGTGTGCCTGTAGTGCCAGCTACTCGGGAATCTAAGGCAGAAGGATCACTTCAGCCCAGGAGTTGGAGGTCACAGTGAGCTATGATGAAAACACTGCACTCCACCTAGGGCAACAGAGTGAGACTCCATCTTTAAACACACACACACACACACACACACACACACACACACACACACACACACACACACAAACCAGTACATTTTTAGAGAAATGAGAAGACAAAGGAAAAGGACTTTGAGTCTCTATGGCTGGCAACTTGGGGCAAGGCAAATTACTGGCAGATAAGATCTAGTTAGTAACTAGTAAAGTTATAAGCCACAACTTTTATGTGGCATAAGATCCTTCATCAGGAAAGGAGGACCCAAAGATGCAGTTTGAATTGAGTACTTATGTGCTGAATTGGATGAAGAGTAGTAATTATGAAAATGTGACAAGGGAGCCAGGATAGGGTAGTTAATCGGATAGAGAAGTGACTATGAAGATAAGGGTCAGTTTAATAAGGTATTTTGGTACATATTTCCCTCAGCCTCAGCTTTCTGTCCTTGATGGTAAAAATCATACTGTCTTTCTGATATAAGGTGGACATCTTTCACAGGGGAATTTCATCTCCTGCCTTTAAAAAACAGGAGGATCAGAGTGATCCTTCTTGCACCTGCTGTTTTTCCAGTGCTTTTCATTCAAAATAATCAATATGCCAGAATGGTGTATCTTGGGGTGGCCTTTTCTGAATTCCTTCCCTAGTAATTTTTTTAAATCATAAGCTAGTTTGAGTTGGATTCACTTGCAACCTAAAGACCTGGTAGGAAGCCCACTGCCTTGTCATCTTGGCATCTCTAGTAGTCAAAAATTAGAATGGCTCCTGGCACATAATGGGAAAACAAAAGGCCATACCTATATTACTAACCTGTCCTGTAGCTATGCCTGAATGAGCCAAGGAAAGAGCCTGTTGACCTATCAAGCTCTTTCTTGAGTCTTTGCAGATCCTGAAAGATTTGATCTAAATTTCTCGGCAGGGGGAGCTCTCACTGCAGAGGATGCAGTCATGCTTCAGGTAGAAGAAAAATTGGTCTAACATATTTCTAGAGATTTGGTGACATTGGCTTCAGGAGTGGAGACCAGAGAGGTTCCTGAGCAGCAGCGGGGAAGGGCAGGATCAGCATGAGCATAACAGGGAAGGTGGCTCACTGTCACTGAGATGTAGGCTTGGGGAGCAGCAGCTGGCGAGGCGTGGATTGCAGGGGTCAGAGGGAAAGAAGGGTTAGTGGTGAGCACCAGCAGCAGTCACAGCGACGTGTCAGGCAATTGTGTCTTATTGGTGGCTGCCCCTTCTTGGGAGAATACCATGGCAATGGCAGCTTCTGGCTCTGGGAAATTTTGTAAAAGATGGGTATGTTGCTAGGCCTGGCGCTAGGACCAGACAATAGCAGGAAAGAGGTGAAAAGATTCCAAGGTCCTAGGATGAGGACAGCCCCTATAATTCTGGGTGAGCTTTGTATGATTCTTGGGAGAGGGAAGAGACCTAAGTTTTCCTAATTGTGGGTATTGGAACCAACCCCTGGGTTGGGCAGTAATGTGGGATTTAGAGTCAGGGATTCTGAGTAGTGGCTCAAACCAAGAAGATTATGGAATATTATCTGGCTGTTGATTTCCCAACTCTGCTGATGGAAGCAAAGACTAATAATTGGGGAGTGGGAACGGGGACACCTGAGCTGTTGAAGTTGGCCTCTGAGCCTTACTTTCCTTACCTAAGATGCTTACACGGGCTTAGCAGGTGTTGAAAATGAGAGTAGATTGATCGTGGAAGCTTACAATAGAAGACCTTATCAGCCACATCTCAAGGAGGTTGGTACTAGGGTCAGTGCTTCAGAAACTGGAAGGGCTTGTGGGCTTCTCTTTTGAATGTTTCCAGAGGTGACTCAGCTCTTACCATATTGTCTCTGATTTTCTCAAAATTCTCAGGAAAGATCTAACACAAAAAGAAGACAAATATTTAAAGTGATGTATATCCCAGTTACACTGACTTGGTCCTTATAAATTATATAAATGTATTAAATTAGCACTTATACTGTGAAAATATATACATCTATTATATATCAATATATTTTTTTTAATTCT